TTTTATCCCCCAGAAAAGAAAAAAATGGAAAACACATAATAGATAATTTTCTGCTAAGCATTTGGAATTCTACTACATCCATTGTCCAGTAGCATTATATACCCTGCATGGCCTGGCGGTTTTGCAGCTTGCATTCAGGGGCGTGTAATGGGGGGGGGGGTCCAGGGGGTCCGGACCCCCCCTGCTCGCGCAGAAAATGCATCTGAGGGGGTCTAATTTCAAAAAAAATCCCCTCCCTTCGCGTGCTCGCTCCTAGTGTCACCTCACATTTCAAAATAGATGTGCGCTCCTGCTGTGCAATAACGATTGCTATACTTATAATAAATACGTACTTTTGCGAAAGAAAATTGCCACACGCTCGTGAGATTTTTCCCGAAAATGTCAATTTCAACGTTATGAAACTAACATGCAACTTTGATGCAGAACAAAAACAAGCATATTCATAATATCTTTCCGCATGTTTACACAATGAATATTCAGAAGCCTTTGACAACATAAAATCATAGAATGTTTTGAACTGTTTTTGTCAGTTCAATCCCTTCATATTTCGTTTCACTGTTACAAGTCTTTGTGTCTCTGTTATATCCTAAGATTTAAGTAATTATATGTTTCGGGATTTTCTCTCCAAGTTGTCCCTAGGCGTTTTCCCCTGAGCTACGTCGGGTACAACAACATAACAAATCAGATATGCACAAGAGAGGTATCAAGCCAGATTATTAAATAAGAAACATGGGCATTCTATTGAGTGATGTTTTTTAAATACGTCTTTGCACATTACGTTAGTTGACGTTACACACATTATTCAACTGTGTTAGTTGTGATTTAGTTAGATGTGATGCTAATTGTGAAGCACTGACCAACTAGAGCTTCTTCTTTACAAGCGAAATCTACATAGTAACTTACAGTAAAAGGAATATACAATGTAGAACGACACCGTGCAAGCGATGGGTTTAAAATAGCATATATTATTCGATGAAAATGTGACGCTTTGATATATGAACTGATTTTAAGTCGATAGGGAAGACTAGGTGGCATACCAACAGCCGAGCGAGCTTTTAAGAGTGAGCTACGCTATATCCCCATCATTATAGCCATCGCTTAATCAGCAATTATAAGGCGTAAAAACACTCATACTCCAGGACCTTAATTACTTACGCAGTTGTAAAACATGGTTTGTAGGTGTTGCCAAGCATTGTTTAATATACATGAAATAAGATGCATTAGAAAGGGTTGCAGGGTGCTGTGAGGAGCTGAGACTTCAAGAAGTCAGAGATGCGGGATTGCTTGGTGTACGTAAGAATATTATGTATACGGTGATTTGTTGTTAGTGTTTGTTTATAAGGCTGGTTAATCCTGCTTTTGTAGAAATAACAGTCAACATCCCTGCAGTGTGGATGCCACTTACGCACCAAGCACAGGAGAAACCTTAAGATAGTTTTACAGCAATGTTTGTGGGCGAGGTGCTGCAGGTGCACAGTTGCTTTTGCAATTATTTAGGGGAAGCGACCACCTGGTGTCTTGCTATCAGGAGATCAGACCGGTTTCATCATAACAGCAGGTATATATAATCACAACATTAACGTTCGTAACATCAGTCTGATACGAGAACACCACACGGACGCTCAGTGACTTCATTGGGTAAACGGATGTTTCTTATATTAATTCAGTATATTTAGTTTCGTTATTATATTATATGTGCTTGACCTTACAGTCGTTAAATGACGCGTGATGTTTAGATGATATTAATTCGATGTTCAGCATAAACAATTATATTGCAAACATAAACAGGGCGCGTTTTAGTTCTACATCAATACGCGGTGTTCAATGTATTGATTTCTATTCTCTTTACTAATTTGTAGGAGAGCCTGTATATAGGACGTGAATTCTACAAGTGAGACGAGGCTGTCTTCAAAGCAAAACACGTGGTCGTATCTTGAACGCCAGACAGGGTAGACATATCTGACGTGTGTGACCAGTACATGGCAGCTTTCCCAGAAGCACGATGGAGTACGTGAGAATTAATTCCGGGACAAATCTATATGAGTGCAAACTGTGTGATGCTTCCTTCTCCTATCTGAGTCATGTGAAGACACACATGAGAACACACACGGGAGAAAAACCGTACAAGTGCGCGCTGTGTGATGCTACCTTCACATTATCGGGTAATCTGAAGAAACACATGAGAACTCACACTGGAGTGAAGCCGTATAAGTGCGATCTGTGTGATGCTGCCTTCACATTATCGTGTACTTTGAAGAGACACATGAGAACTCACACTGGAATGAAGCCGTATAAGTGTGAGCTGTGTGATGCCGCATTCTCACAATCGGGTACTTTGAAGAGACACATGAGAACTCACACTGGAGTGAAGCCGTATAAGTGCGATCTGTGTGATGCCGCATTCTCATTATCGGGTAATCTGAAGACACACATGATCACTCACACGGGAGAGAAACCGTTTAAGTGTGCGCTGTGTGATGTTGCCTTTGCACAATCGGGTGACCTGAAGACACACATAAGAACACACACGGGAGAAAAACCGTATAAGTGCAATCTGTGTGTTGCCGCCTTCGCACAATCAAGTACTCTGAAGACCCACATGAGAACTCAAACGGGAGAGAAACCATTTAAGTGCGATCTGTGTGGTGCTGCATTCTCACACATGGGTACACTGAAGGCACACATGAGAACCCACACTCAAGAGAAACCATATAAGTGCAAGCTGTGTGATGCTGCCTTTCCACAATCATGTCATCTGAAGACACATATGAGAACTCACACAGGAGAGAAAACGAAGAAGAAAAATACGAAAGAAAAATTCATTTAAATGTAACATTTGAAGTGAAGAGTTAGCTCTATAATCACACATGGCAATGCATAATAACTCTATGGGGATGTCGTACAGATGTAAGCAGAAAGTACATCTCAAACTGTCAGACTCACATGTAAGATCAGCTTGGCTCTGTGAACAAGCGAGCACACTATACACACATGTGAACTGGAGCAGTGCGGAATGCCAACTAATGCAACTTAACTGTTACAGTTTTTTTCCAAAGTAGAAGCTGGACTAGGAATTAATTGAAAAAGTCTTCAAATCTTTAAGGTATACAACCGGACTGTGTCATGTTTGTGATTTTTTGGTGTTTTGAATCTATACCTAACCTGTGGCCATGAAAACTCTTTGTAACCTTTTGTAAGTAACTGTACGTTTGAACACTGATCTAATAAAACGCATTATGATTCATAATATCAATGTCTACCGTCAAATTCAGAACCCTGTGTTACAGGTTGGTATTATTGATCATGTATACATAGATATGAGTACAGTAGTATTACGTCACGAATTTCTAGCACCATCAAGTAGTATATTTGTGTGTTATTTGTACAAAATAAAATGTATGAAAATAAAATTAGTGTTTCTGTTTACTTTTCATGCTTATATATACCTTCTTTATATGCCCTAATTTGCCGGTGAAAAACAGAGAGACGCCAGTATCTGAACAGTACTGGGGGAATAGTGTCAGACAACAGAAATTACCAAATCGTCTAGATTTTTGCAAATTTCATTAACGTAATCACATTTTTATTAGGTGAGAGTTTGAGGATATATTTAGTAACGTTAGTTCTTACTTTTAATGTAAAAAATGGCAATTTTTTTACAAATTTTACCATGGAAAATTCGTGACGTAGTCAATTTAATAATGACAAACATTTGTCATTATTAACCCCTGGTAGTATGTATGTGTGCGTGTGCGTGTGTGCATTCATATAAATTTACATGCACATAGTAGTGATGAAAAATGCAATTGTAAATCAATTATATATGCCTCACTTCTTCTAGGTTTCAAACCCTAGGCTTTTCACCAGGCATACAGGAGACCATGATAGATCTGTTTGCAGTAAAATTAAACTTCTTTTACTCCAAAGTACTGTTTGGATTAGATCTGTTGCTGAAAAATTCAGGGTCAAAACTTAAAAACACAAGCAAGCAGTGTATCACTGTATGTAAACGAGCTCTCTGCGCACATTATATGTAAGTTACAGAGAGCATTCATAGAGTCCTATATTGTTATAATATACTCTGAAATTCATTAGAATTTAGAGTGGGTAAAAAATCATGGATTCACGGCGAAAAATACCGATTGCTAAATGTTGTAGTGAGGGGTGTTTGAGGTCGTTATAAACTTATACTCACAATTAGCACAATTCCATGAATAATTTTCGAACCCTGGACAAATATCGACAACAGTAAAATGATATGATTGTAATATTAAAATTTATTTAAACATTGTTTAGACCTATATATATAAAAGCAATGGAAAATAAAATATATAATGCAATCATGAATATATGTATCAGAAAATTAATGATATAATACACCCTATCATCTGCTGATGCATAACATAGGTCGATAGCATTCAAGCAGATGTGTAGCACCAATCGATTGTAAGCGTCCAAGGAAATAACACATCCGGTCGAAAAAGTCCCATTTAAAAATTCCCGTCTCCCGTGCGTAAACCTACCCTGGTTGATCGTAAAATCGTTTTAACTTTTTTCACTACAATCCGCTGTACCAATCTATCGATATGATTGACTCCCACACTCTCTGTCTTCCGTATACACTGCTGATGTATCGATATGATTGACTCACTCTTACTGTTTTTTTTAAATATATACACTGCCGATGTATCGATATGAACGACTCTCACTCTCACCGTCGTCCGTATACAGGGCCGATGAATCGATAGGTTTGATTCACTCTTAGAGTTTTTAGTATATATACACTGCCAATGTATCGATATGATGGACTCTCGCTCGCTCTGTCCTCGGTATATATACAGTCCCTCGGAGTCCCCCGTGAGGTAAGGTTGAGACGGGGCGTCACGGCAGTGGGCGGTGGCTACTGCTAGGGAATACGCACGAGATTCCCACCTTGCTTAACCGCCTCGTACTCCTCCTCCGTTGTCATGACGCCGCGCACGACGATGAGCTGGTACTGCGGGGCGCGCAGCGTCCGCGCAGACCGCCGCAGCAGCGAGCGGCGCGACGCACCGACTCCGTGCTCGTGTAGCAGAGCTACGCGCGCGAGTGCTGAAACTTGAGAATAGTAACAGGATATTTTCAGAGCGATGAATTAGTGCAGAAACTTAAACGCGGTTAGGAATAGCACATCGCGTGACCGCCTGTTTCCTAACTGCGTAGCAAGGGCGTGGCCCAATCACCAGCCAGCTTTTCGGCCATGTGACCCTGGTTTGATATCAAGTGCGATATAAAATCTATTCACAGCTTGGCTCAGTTTCCCTCGCCCATAGCCACAACACTATGGTTAGGAGATACGCGCTCGCACCAGACCATATACGCGTCCCCCCACCATGACCACACACGCGCGATGAATATAAAAACCCACCACGCGCCGCGACACTCAGTTAGTTAGTCTCAGCAAGTCTTAGTTAGTTAGTCTCAGTCAGTTAGTCAAGACACGCAGTCGTAGTAAGCGAGTCCGTTAGAGACAGTCACGTAGCCACACGTATAGTGAAGAAGTAGAGGAACTTATATGTGCTGTAAAACATTACCTAGT